GTATGTATGTATGTATGTATGTATGTATGTATGTATGCATGTATGTGCGCATGTATGTGTGTATATATGTATGTATGTGAGTTTGTATGTATGTGAGTGTGTATGTATGTATGTATGTGGGCTTGTGTGATTGTATGTAAGCGTGTATGTAGGTGCTTGTATGTACATATATATGTGTATGTGTGTGTGTTTGTATATGTATTTGATGTGTGTATGCAGTATGTATGTGTGTACGTGTGCATGAGTTAGGCTAATTTTTGCGTGGTTTGAATAGTCTTTTCTTCATTGCTAACAAAGTGGTAGACATTGCAGGAATTTTTCAATGGTATTCTAGCATTCTAGCAATAATTTTCGAGATTTCAAAATTTCTATAGCTTTTGGCATGTGCTATCACTCGAGCTATTTTTGAGTATCTCCACCTCTCACAGAAAGCGAATTTGTTAAAACGTCTAAGACTTAACGGACCGAAACGTCTTATCTCACTTTCACCTTCAACTTACATTACTGCTTTCTCCTACACTTTCTCATCTCGCTATCTGCACTTCCAGAGTTCACCTGGAAACTGCAATCTACTTGGAAGAGGGAGGGGAGTTAACTTTTGACCATGATATTACCGATTAAGTACCACTTACTTTAATTAATTAAAAGATAAAGCGAATAATCTGTAGCGGAATGAAAGTGGAGTCCTACAAGCACCGTTGATTATATGTTTTCATATTTTATTTATATACAAAAAACGCATATTGTCCAGAGTTTGTCTGTGTCTGTGTGTGTTTTGAGTCCGGTAAACCAAAAAGTATTTATTTAACTAGAAGTCAAAAAAACACTATATGTGCGTTTATATGGGTGTTTACGTATGCATGTAATACGATTATTCCCGTATTTGTAAGAGTGTGTTTTTGAATGGTATCTCTCATGATCTTTGACCGATTAAATTTTGCTCAAAAAACTGGGAATTTGAAAGATAATTCGTCGTTCCATATGGTCGTCGAGGGCATCTGTCTCCCTCCTAGCACTCGTCGGCTTTCATTCCCTTTCATTCCTCATTCTCTTCATTGCATCCGTAGTAGGACTCCGACCAATTTAGTCATTTTGCCTATTTTACGAGTTTTTTGTCCCAACAGTATCAGCCCAAGAGCGCGAAATTATGCAGACAATTCGGAAGCAAAGCTGTTGAGAATGAAAATTTTATTGAAAAAGAAGTGGCTTTTTTATTTTCTCTTGGAAATTTTGTTTAATCAGCTATTGTTTCATTGTCGCATTGTTTTTGGGAGCCGAAACAGTTAGCAACTTTTCCATTCTTCTCTGTACTGAATTATCACATCCGACAACTTCAAATCCTACCCACTGATTGCATTAGCAGCTTATTTGATAATTATTTAGTACTGCATGTATTTAGTCATTCAGTAATCCGTTTTGTCCATCAGTTGTCAGTCTCTTACCACATGTTATCAAACTCTTGCTCCGGGCCTGCATTATATACTACAACTTCAGTTACAAATGAATATTTTGAATTTGTTGTATATCTTAATTTGTAGGGGGAAGGGCATCTCAGATTTTTTTTCTCAGTTTTAAGCCCTCAAAAATTCACATGTTTTCTTTGGTTTTACGCTTCTGCTAGTTATTTTTTTTTATTTCGAAGCTTTTTAAGCATTTTCAGTTTGATTTGGCCCAAACAACGTTTCATACGCCATAATTTCTTCTAATTTCTTTCCAAAGATATATGTTGTGTGACCGATGCCCGGGAAGATGTCCTATATGTGGTGGAAAGTGGTTAATGGATTATAAATGTATCTTAGCGCAAATCCATTCGATAGAGAACATGATAGAAGTGAAATTCGTTATTGGCTAAGATCGCATCGCACGATTCTGCCGTGGCAAATGAGTGTTTTGGCGAGTACTGGAAAGCTAGAATGCTAAAATTAAATGCATCCGAAGAGCATTTTAGAATTAGCTAGGGACAAATAAGCCTCAGGGGAGGGGGACTGGAGAAATCCTGAAGTTTATCTATTTTATTGGCACCTTTCTGCTGCCCCCCATAATTAATAGCTTCGATAGCTAATATGTTTACGGCTAGTCAAATGATTGGAAAAAAAAGACGAAGCATTTATCATTCCTTTTTATACTTCACTGCTTGAAGTAGAAGCCATAACTTCATGGTTATGCATCCAAACGTAGCGATCTGTTTCCAGAGACTTGGGGAGTACCATATCCTGGAAACCAAAAGGCGCACGTATGAGTCCTATCATCCCAATCTTATAATAGCCATGGATATCATGTAAAGTTTGGACAGATCCACTAGTGAAACACGAGTGGTCGTACGTGTGGTTCCATTCAAACCGCTTACTTAACCTTTGTGTTATCGAGACCTTAAAAGTTAATGAGAGATGTGCCTCTTTGTAAGTGTGAGATTGTGTGTGAGTAACCCACAACTACTATATATATATATATATATTCGTTTATAAACATTCCTCATAACACAAAGAAAATCAGGAAAGAAGCATATTGGTAAGTTTTGGGAGACCGAAGCTCCTCGGCCAGGTTGAACGATTTCGGAAGGCAGATCGTGGATCCTGAAGAGGGGGAGGGAGTGCTTAGATCTCATATATCCACAGATCAAAGGGACTGCGTCACTCTAAAGAGGATAGGGTGTTCAAAGGTCAGTCCAGGACAAAATTTGTGAAACAGAGGACCGGAGGGGTGTTACATCATAATGATATAAAACTTTTGCGAGATTCTAAAAAACCATTAATCATAATAGTGATCCCTTTCATCCGCCGGCGACTTTCTTAGATTTCCTTTTTATAAACATAGGTACCACTATACATTTTGCTCTGTCCAAAAGCAGAATGCAGTTGGGCCTACGTATGGACCCACTTACCCGCTGATAGCGTTCTTAGCTTCCATTTTACTAAAACGTGGGTATTATTGGATATTTCTCTAACTTGCTTCTACTACCATTTTTTCTGCTGCATGTACTAAAAGTATAACATCTGTAGAATGGTGTAACCAGTTGATGCAGAGTTTTACGGTGCAGATAAGTTGGAACTGATAGTAAATCTGTTCTTCAGTCATGGTTTTGTATGCTTTTCAGGTTTCACAGCCATGGCTGGATATCACTCATTGGATCGAAAAACTCATCTTTTGAATTACTACCGTTTTCCCAGTGAAAATCCTTACAGGTAGGTATTTTTGGTACTTAAATATCTGTGACAAATTTTTTTAATTCTTTGAAAATTTCCGATTGTTGGTTCTCAGAAAAAAAAACTTGGGTTTTCTGATTTGTTTCCGGGCTTTTTGAAAAAACAATCTGGAAATATTTCTGATTCCTAGTATCTACTAGTTCAATGGTACCACCAAAACGAACAGCAAGGAAGTTGATTTTTTTGTTTACCGCTTGAAATGATGCATAAGATTCGATAAATGCTTCACAGCTGTGCTCCGGTTTATCCGCATTCTCTATACTGTCTGCTTTAGTTTTGTTTGCTCCTGCCTTAAAGATACCTTGAGGCGGCCTGAATTTGGTTTCATCAGCATTTGTAAAACTATAATTGAGATTTGGTACGCTTTGGCCAAAAAGGTCATTTTACCACATAGCTTGTCCGTACTACTAAAAATTAGTGAAAAAGAGTAGCTGTAATTTCGAAAAATTTGAAATTGTTGAATCTTTTATCGATATTTCAAGAGAAAAGCAGCACCGTCACGATCATTTTCGATTATTTTCATCTTAGATATCGCTGTGGAGAGTTTTGTGGCTTAGTTGCTCAAGTAGATTCCCATTAAAAGTAATAATAGACTCAGGGGTGACCCATTTGCTCATAAATTAATAATTTGTAGGTTAGCAGCTGTGGGACAGGAAACATCTGCTGCCACTTTGGCGATGGTCAGTCCCCGACATGTGCCTAGTCGACAACAGTTCAGCCTGGCGCAACCGAACATCGAACCAACTCTTGCCAATCGACACAGCGTTGCCGGTTCGTTCCTTTTTTTAATGCCCATTTTTCAAAAAAAAAAAAAAAAACGAGAAAAATCGCGTTGTATGTTGTCCATGCCCAGTTGACGGGTATTCTCATATTCCTTCGAAAATGCCAAAAATTTAGACTTTTTGGGATTTTCAATATGAGCACAGTGTCGGTCATTTTTTGCATAACTTTGGTTTATGCCGAAAACCAGACATCGTTGTAATCAAGCGCGCAATTAGCAAAAAGTAATAGGGTCCACCTGTAGACTCCAGGGGGTGGGCAGTTTTCTATTGCTTTGTAGTCAGCTGTGGTCATCTCGAATTTTTTTACACTCCGTGCTATTAGATGTATCTATTTGCAACTGTGTCTCGACGGTACATCATGGTTATGTACGAGATGTATCCATCGCTGCATGCATAATTTTTACTCTTCGGCCTACTTTTTTTTGATTAATACGTAGCATGTCACGCAAAAAAAAAAGATGTAATAATTTTCGCAACAAAAAAGCATCAATGCACGCAATCTTGTTTGCCAAAAAAAAACGCATAGAAATTTTTTGTTGTTTGCTATTATGGACAAAACGCGCCTGGCCAAAATTCCTGAATGTTTCCGTTCAAATGATTGCACAAGGTAGCTTGCAATAAACGTGTAATTCTTAGTTTTTAGGTCCCACGATTGCGCATTTATTTCCTCCCCTCATCTCCTTCGCCCGCCTCGTCCCCTTCTACCAAAAAATGAGTAAAAATTTTAAAGAAAAGAATTTTTTTATAATTTCGTTGCATTTTTTTAAAGGTAAAAAAAGTCTATAAGGCAAAACATGCAAAAACATATCCTAGTCAGGATATGTGATGGACAGAAGGAATATCAGGACTGCCAGCAAGCTAACCACTAGGTGGTACAGCACTGATCAAAACAGTTGGCGAAGTTACTAGATTCGTAGCCCGAAAACTGACCATCAGGCGATGCAGCACTGGTCAAAGTAACCGGGAAATTTTTCATTTGTATAGCTGGAGAATCATATTATATATAATACAAGTTGTTCAAAGCATGTGGTGGAGTGTTTCCATTTTCGCATGTTCCATAAATTTTTGCTTTTTTTTCTGCTTTCATACGGGTCATTAATCTAACCCACGCAATACCGCTCTTAAGAAGAGTTGTTCCATGAAAGCTCTTTCATGGATTAGTTGCACATTTCTTGCGATAGTTAGTGGTTTCGGGATTATTTTTCATTCTTTGGCCTAACTTGTTCCTGGCTCATGAAAGATCTAGCAGACATCAATTTGGCTTTTTTCTTTCTCTCAGTTTTGGTTTGCTGTTTGAAGGTTTGCTTAATTTATGCAGGTTAACGATTTGCTTGCGCATTTTTAACTACATACTAAAAAGTGCTGGTTGGCTTGGGAATTTCAAGATGCTTTTGAGAGAGTGACTTTTTGTTTCATAACTTTTAAGAATTGATTTTGTTTTAAATCGAATTGAATTCCTGCAATTTTTCTGAGTTTTGATATCCGATTTTTGAAAACCGTGGCAACAGCGGTGCCATATTAGTTCGCTCTGCCTGAGAAACCGAAAAAACCAGGCATTCCTTCTTTTTTTCTCTTGGAAGTTCCATAAAGGGGGGCTTCCGGAATTTTTGAATTGGACAAAATTCCATTTTCAGGTTCTGATTTCTCCCAGAAACTCAAGAGAATTTGCATGTTGAGAATGGGTTTGAACCCTGCTTATCACTAACTTATCGCTTTATCAAACCCTATCATTTATTTTGCTTGCTATATTTATAGCTAATCGTTCGGCGCGTTCCGTTTCTCTTTCTGCCGCTGGCATGTCACGCTCAATGGTCCTGGTTGATGGTACTGGCTCGGATTCGGAGCTTCCGACAGCTATGACAACCCCCAACAACACTCCAAACAACGGTCGCCGGCTTGACCATCGGTCATCCTCAACGACTAACGGAAAAATGGCAATCAAAAGGATACCGCTTACTGTTGCCGCCGAATTTTCCACCAATGATACTCCAGCTACTGATGTATGCGATAAGCGGCGTGCAGGTGCTGCTCACGTGGATTATCAGTAAAGATGATAGAGAGGACGAGAATTTTGACCTCCCAATTTGTTTGGGATATGGGCGCCAAAACCACTACTTTTCCTGAAAATTTGGGGGAACTGCGAAATGGCCCCTGAATTTTTTCGGAACGTCAAAAACTCCCAAATTTCGATTTTTTTTCTTTACTTCAGAGGCATAAAAGTTCGAGAATTCTGACTTTTTTAAATCGCTGAATTATGCGAGAGGTTTTCGCGCACGTAACTAATAAGTTGCTTGAAGTGCTTGTTCTGATATAATTTACCCTTTGGACTTTGCTTGCTTGCTTGCCCATTAAACTATCTAGTGCATGTCATCATTCTAGGTACCACTGCACTTTATATTAGAAATCAACTCCAAGTATTTTTCCCCGTGTGCATTTGTTGCTTTGGAGCTAGCTTTTTTGTTTTTTAAGGCAAAATTTCCATTTTAGATATCTGGAGTAACAGGATGTTAGCTAGTAATTAAGGCTTTGTTTGCTCCAATAAACAGCCTGTAAAAAGTATGATGCCTATTCCTAGAAGGATGCCTATTCCTCTTCCAGTAACTAAACTTATAACTGTGGGTAGCAGATTGTTTAGCAGCTAGAATAATAAAAATATGGAAAGAATTCTGATAAAATACTGTATTTCCAGCTTATTGGAATCTAAAAAAATGATTCATAGAAGATTTGCCTTGATTTTAATTTCCGGGAACCGGTAATGCGCCAGAAATAGAGAAAAGTACCACTCGCCGTTCTCCTTTCCCGCTCTTGTTTACCAATTTTTCTACCGTTTTTTTATAATTCCCTCTAACAATAATTGTAAAAACAGTTCATGTGGAGGGCAAAAAAGGCAAAAAAAAGTTGAATTAATATGCAGAAAACTTTGTTAGCGAGACACTAAGATTCAGTGAAAGAAGCTGACTTGAGTTAAACGGAAAAAAATTGGTCTAAAAGGGTTAATTTAGAAAAAAAAAAACAAAACAAAGAAACTCATTTTAATAAAAGCTTCATGGAAATCAAAACGGAGATGCACTATTCTGTCTCCGAGTTACTATGATCAGAAAAGTAGCCGAGTGCGCTCTCAGTTCTGAATAATCAGCTGTTTTTTTGTTTTTTAAGTTTATGCCGCTTAAGCCGCTTTTCACGCAGTGCTGAAATTTACAGGTGGTTCATTATCAGGTCGGAAGTTGTCACAGACAGAAAATATATACGGGAACTATAATCATCGTGATGCAAATCTGCAGCTTCACAAGCTTTCCGATGATGGAATCCGGTAACTTTTGCTACCTGTATCTCTGAAAGTGTGGCAGAATTTTGTATAAGATTCACTAAAAAGTTGATTAATCATTTCTTACCATCTAGTATGAACTCAAGAATTCGAAAATCGATGAAAATGATGCTGTGTACTAAGCGAAGGTACCAATTCGCAAATTTACAGAATTTCAAAAAATGATTTTTTTCGAAACTTTTTTAAAACTTTTAACCTAAAATTTAGTTTTTACTGTCATAATGTCTAATAGCTGTTGTTGGATTTTAGAACGCCGCAGATGAAAACATCACGATATGCAGAATCAGGATATCTGTCTGCTGCATCCAAGTTGTCCCCAAGTTGTTCTGCTGAACCAAATGGATCCCAGTTGTCGCTTACATCCTCGTCAAATTCCCTTTATTCATCGGTATGCGCTTCTGAAACTCTTATTATTATTATTATTGCTGTTGTCGTTGTTATTGTTGTTGTTGTTGTTACTACTGTTAACTGTTATCGAAATAATTATTTTTACTACTGTCTTTATCATCACTGTTATTATCGTATTTATTTCTGCGTTCAGATCTCGTCAAACATATTTTTCAGCTTAAGCAGTGTTGCTAGCAAAAAGCGGTTTTGAGAAATTTAAATTAGGATCTGGGGCACACAGCTGGAATTTCATTTCTGGATAACAAAGCGAGGAAGGGAGTGCTTTTGAAATTTATTTGTTTTAGTCAAATACTAGTATCTGCTAGAAAGTAGCCAAAACTGCTCCGGTCATCGAAATGAAGTTCTTGATGAAGTTAAAATTCTGTCAAAGTTAGATAATTCCGGAAGTACGAATTCAGGAATGAAGTCAGATTCTTCATTCCTGAATTCATACTTTCAGAAGATGCTTATAATTCATCAAAAAGCACCTAAATTTTAGCTTCCACTGATGCTTCTGTAACATGGGTTCAAATCTGTTCGTTTAGATGGAGGAGAAATATGAGGCAGAAATCAGGAAACTCAATAGGGAAATGGAGGCATACAGGAATACGATAACAAAGTTAACTGCAAAACATGATGGCTACAATCATCTCATTCAGCTGTTCGAGTCTAAACTACAGCTCATGGCGAAACACGTCGAGAATTTGCAATCCAAATCACAGCTTAAGGTTATCTTGATTTTTGCAAAGATTTTTTGGAGACACAGAATAATAGGCGATGAATATGATGCTGATACAGATTACTGGCAGAACTTGAAGAATTTTCAAGAATGAAGGGATTCGTGGTTTCGAGGAAAATGTAGCGGCTGTAACCCTAAGTAATGGTTTTACGAAATAGTTGAAAATCATGACTGCCACGTAGTAAGTGGGTGAACTGCTGGTAAATTTACGTACCAACCGATTTTATAATCGTGATTTCATGTAATCAGTATGTTGTGGTAGTGGTCCTATAAACTTTAAACTAATTTCATATTTTTGGCTTTTTTTTTTTACTTTTCCTTTGATTTTTATGCGTTTTTGCTGTGCAGCGCGATAGCGCTGCTACAGCCAGCAAAAACGCATATTGTCGAGAGGCTGTCTGTGTGTGTGT